TCCCGTCAGCTTGAGAGAGATCTTGAAGCGTCGCTCGGTGATCAAACTTCGTTCTTCTGCGACAAAACGCGTGCTTTAAAGCCGTGTCAGACGGACAACCACGAGAGCCGTGGATTGCGGGAGAGCCGGGAATACCGGCGCTCCCCTCCCTGCGTGACAGTATGGAGTTACACGGGCTCTCACCCAAAAAAAGCTTTGGACAGCACTTTTTGTTGGATCCCTCAATTGTGGCGCGCATCGCCCATCTGGCTGGTGACCTGAGCCACGTTTCAGTGATCGAGGTCGGGCCAGGCCCAGGAGGGCTGACACGCGCATTGCTTGCCACCTCCGCACGCAAAATCTTTGCGGTTGAAATCGACACGCGTGCCATACCCATTCTGGAAGATTTGAGACAATGCAACCCGGATCGGCTGGATATCATTTCTGCCGACGCCGTCACGTACGATCTTGCAACGCTTGGGACAGCGCCACGGCAGATCGTGGCCAACCTGCCTTACAATGTCGGGACAAAACTTCTTATCAACTGGCTGGAGCAGGCTGGAGCATGGCGTCGACTGACATTGATGTTTCAGCTTGAAGTCGCACAGCGTATTTGCGCCGAGGTTGGTACCAGTGCCTACGGACGCCTGAGCGTTCTCGCTCAATGGTGCGCGAAATGCGACATTGTCATGCGTGTTCCCGCCGGTGCATTTTCTCCTCCGCCCAAAGTTGATTCCGCGATTGTTGATCTTATCCCACGCATGACCAGCCCACGACGGAGCTGTTTCGCGCGATGGGCCGCGTCACAGGAGCCGCTTTTGGTCAAAGACGCAAAATGCTCCGCAGCGCATTAAAGCCGCTGCAGGGAGAGAAACTTCTCGCGAGAGCTGGCATTGACCCGTCACGGCGCGCAGAAACACTTAGCGTTGAGGAATTCTCTCTCCTCGCAACATGTCTGATAGAAATCGAGGCAGAACTGGGAGCATCGTCGGTCGATGCTTCCACCGAAACAAGCTGAGCCCGGCCTGGGACGCGCTTGTCTCTATTCGCCACGATACGCCCTGCACCACGCGGGTTCAGCCGTTCTGATGTTCAGCCTTCATCATGTAGTCACGTGTGAGAGGCGTTGCCTCGATATCTCGCGTCAGTTGAAGCTGAAAGTTCATGTGGCCCTGCACCCGAAATGCAAGCTCAGCCCCGGTTAGATAGAATTCAAACATACGACAAAAACGCTCATCGTAAATTGCGCAGATCTTTGCGCGGTTCTGCGCGAAGCGGCGGCGCCATTCAGCGATCGTCTTTGCGTAATGCAGCCTTAAAATTTCACAATCTGTCAAGAAGAGGCCTGACCGCTCAACAGACGGGAGAACCTCGCTGAGTGCTGGCGAATATCCGCCT